CAGTCTCCTACTGGTGCCTCACATTGGCCAAACTCAACTGTAAGTCAGAGGGCTTGGGAAGATGGCCGATGTATTCATAGGGGTCAACTTCCTAGGGCCCAGAGCAGATCCATAAGGGTTAGATAATGGATCTGAGGGCAAACAGAGAATGGACACACACACACACACACACACACGTATTTGCTAATCAAGTATATGTATAGTATATTTCTGGAAGAAACAAGAAAATTGTTAATATTGGTTGGCTTCAGGGAAGGGGAAATACAGAAAGACATAGACTTTTCACTCTGTAACATTTGTAGCTTTTGAATTTTGAACCATGTGAATATATTACCTATTTTTAGAAAGAAATTACATTTAAATTAAAAAATGAAAATCAGGGACGCCTGGGTGGCTCAGTCGTTAAGCGTCTGCCTTCGGCTCAGGTCATGATCTCAGGGTCCTGGGATCGAGCCCTGCGTTGGGCTGCCTACTCAGCAGGGAGCCTGCTTCTCCCTCTCCCACTCCCCCTGCTTGTGTTCCCTCTCTCGCTGTGTCTCTCTCTGTCAAAAATAAATAAAATCTTTTTTAAAAAATGAAAATCAACCAAAAAACAAGTAAATCTGTGGTAGTTCACAAATCAAGGCAGTTCACAAATCACTTGATTCTCCTCTGCTTCTGAGCACAGGACAGGATTGCAGTCCCCTACCCCTGCTGGAGTTGCGTATGGCTACAGGTCTTATTTGAGGAATGCAACATGAGCACAACTAATGTGCATCACATCAGGCAGAAGCTTGAAGAGTCAGTGTATGTATTGCCACCTTCCCTTTTTCCTACCTCATAGATCATGGAAGCATCTACCAAGATTGAACTCCTGTTAGCCAGAGTCCATAGTTTATAAGGAGTAGACACGTTCCCTTCCACCACCACTGTACTAACATTGGATATGTAGCATGAGTGAGAAATAACCTTTGTTGCTTTAAATTACCAAGATTATGGGGCTGTTTGCTGCCACAATGTAAACTAGTCTATCCTCACTGACACAAGATGGAACCAGATGGCTCCTGGAGTTATTTCCAAATAAAAAATATGTGATTTTTAAAAATAGTTACATTTAGTCTCTTGTATTTAAAACAATACGCATGTTTACACCCATGGAAATATCACTGTTTTCAATGACAGTATGTATATTGATTTGTGAATATTAATACTAACCTTACATTTGGCAATTTATATATCAAAACCTCAAAAGTGCATACCGTTAGGCCAAACAATTATACTTCTATGAATTAATGCTAATGGAATAACAATAATAATGGCTAAATTTTATTGAACAGCTATTATGCACCAGGCACTATTCTAAGTACCTCACATAAATTACTTTAGAATGCTCATGGCAATCCTATGACGAATGACCTATTATTTTTTTTTTAAAGATTTTACTTAAGAGAGAGAGCCTGAGCGGGGTGGGGGGAACAGAGGGAGAGGGAGAAGCAGGATCCCCACTGAGCAGGGAGCCTGATGCGGGGCTCAGTCGATCCCAGGACCCTGGGATCGTGACCTGAGCCGAAGGCAGAGGCTTAACCGACTGAGCCACCCAGGCGCCCCTGACCTATTATTATTACTACCTTTTACACAAGGAGACTGAGGCTTGGAGAAGCTGAACGACTTGTTAAAAATTATATAACTAATAGGTAGAGTAACCAGGATTTAAATCCATCAGCCTGACTCCAGAGCCTAAGCTTTCAACCATTATGATATACTGCTACTTCTTCCTTATCTTAAATTTAATTTTCCCCTTATTTCTTCTTTGACTTACACATTTCTTAATTTCCAAATGTATGTCTTTTTCTAGTAATCTTTTTTCCAACTTTATTGGGGAATAACTGACAAATATAGTTGCACATATTTAAAGTGTACAACGTGATGATTTGATATAGATACACCTATCATAGAATGACTGCCAAGATTGAGATAATTAATTAACACTTCATCACCTCACACAGTTAATGCTTTTTTTTTTTTTTTTTTTTAAATGGTGAGAAAGCTTAAGATCTACTCTGGGCAACTTTCAAGTACAGCTCATCGTCAACTTATAATGGGGTTATGTCCCGCGAAACCCACTGTGAGTTGAAAATATAACAACTCAAAACTGCATTTAATACACCTAACCTACTAAACATCACAGTGTAGCTTCACCTACCTTAAACGTGCTTAGAACACTTAACATTAGCCTACAGTTGGGCTAATCATCTAACACAAAGCCTCTTTTATAATAAGGTGTTGACTATTTCATGTAATGTATTGAATACTGTACTGAAAATGAAAAACAAAATGGTTGTACAGATGTGCAATGCTTGTAAGTCCATTGGCTGCTGCTGCCCAGCATCATGAGAGAGGATCATACTGCATGCTGCCTGGGAAAAGGGGTAAGATCCAAAATCAAAACCTGAAGTATGGTTTCTACTGACTGTGTATTGCTTTCGCACCAGCATAGAGTCAAAAAATCGTTAAGTCTAACGGTTGTAAGCTGGGGATCATCTGTACACAATACCGTATTATTAACTGTGGTCACCATGCTGTACACTAGACCCTCAGAAGTTTGTCCCCTTTGACCTACATCTTCCCATTTTCCCCTGCCCCCCCACCCTGGCAACCTGTTTCTATGAAGTCAGGTTTTTTTCTTTAGAGTCCACATACAAGTAATACTATACTTAGTGCTACTTCTTTTTTTTTTTTTTTAAGATTTTTTTATTTATTTGCGAGAGAGAGAATGAGAGACAGAGAGCATGAGAGGGGGGAGGGTCAGAGGGAGAAGCAGGCTCCCCGCCGAGCAGGGAGCCCGATGCGGGACTCGATCCCGGGACTCCAGGATCATGACCTGAGCCGAAGGCAGTCGCTCAACCAACTGAGCCACCCAGGCGCCCCAGTGCTACTTCTTAAATAGCTTTAAGGATGTAAATTAGAGCACTGCTTTAGAATAGCAAAGTGGGAAACAAATCTAATGTCCAAATGTGAGAGAGTATTGAATCAATTGTGGTTATAGAATACCATGCCCATTCAGTCATTTTTTTTTTTAAATCATAAATAAGCGGTGCCTGGGTGGTTCAGTCAGTTAAGCGTCTGCCTTGGGCTCAGGTCATGATCCCGGGGTCCTGGGATCGAGCCCCACGTCCTGGGATTGAGCCCCACGTCGGGCTCCCTGCTCAGCGAGGAGTCTGCTTCTCCCTCTCCCTCTGCACCTCCCCCCCCCCCCCCGCTTGTGTACTCTCCCTCTGTCTTAAATAAAATCTTAAAAAAATAAAAGAAAATAAAAAAAATCATGAAAAACATGAAAAGATGTCTGCAATATAAAAAAAATGAGAATAAGTCTCAAAGTTTTTGTTCCGTTTTTTAAAAAAGTATATGCATAGACAGCAGCCTAGAAAGCTTAGTAGCAGATCTGGATAGTAGATCTTACATGGGTTTTTCTAAGTGCCTACATGTATTGTCTGATTTTCCGTAACAACATGATAAATCCTAACATTAAAAATGCCACACTGAGCTCACACAGTAGATCCTGAAACAAGAGCTTGCATGCAGTTTCTCTAGCTAGTAAGCCACCCCAGGGAATAGGTGTGGGGATGTGGAAGAGTGAAATGGGATGGAGGGGAAGTCAAATCAAAGATGCGGCTGTGTTATAAAGCTGATCACCACTGTGGGAAACTAAGGCAGTTTCTCTAGAAATCTCTCTAAAGAGCCAGGGAGAACGGACCTCACCGTTGTCTGCCTGAGAGACACAAGGCAGGAGGATGTATCCACAGCTGCCTTCCCCATTGGTCAAGGGCACTAAGTCCCTCCTATTTCCGGTCTGCTCATTTGCCAGAAGGGCTAAGAAGGTTGCTGCCGGCATCCCATTGGCCAGAGCAGAGAAGCCTGGGGCGGAGAACCCGTGGTAAGCCGAAAGGCTGAGGGAGGTGCTGGAACAAAACTGAAGTGAAAAAAGGTGAAGAGAGAGGATGAGCATAGGGGCCCAAAAGACGGGAACTTTACATAACTTTGTATAAAGTTTAGAGATTGAAATACCAGCTTCAAGTCATGACTCTCTTCTTAATTAGAATGTGGTGAAATGGGGCGCCTGGGTGGCTCAGTCGGTTAAGTGTTTGCCTTCCGCCCAGGTCATGATCTCAGGGTCCTGGGATCGAGTCCAGCATCGGGCTCCCTGCTCAGCGGGAGGCCTGCTTCTCCCTCTGCCTCTGCCCCTCCCCACTGCTCCTGCTCTCTCTCTCTCAAACAAATAAATAAAATCTTAAAAAAAAAAAATGTGGTGAAACCCAAGTATTATTTTCTCTTTCTTTTAGAATAAGAGCTATTGTAGTAGGAAAGGCTACACGGAAGGTGCTGAAACTATCCATGTCCCCATCCAGTCAAGGTAGTAAATAAAAAACCGTATCACATCTCAGAGGGGCATGGCAGAGATTAGAACAAACCTCAAAGAATTAAAGGATGCAGAGGTGCGGTTCCCATTAAACACCATCCTGGCATCTACAAAAACCAGATTGTGGATGATTGCGTACCACTTGAATTTGACAAGAGAGAAGTCCCAGTCATAGCTACTAGTCTGCATAGGGTGTATCTACTAGAGCAGACTAATGCAGCCTAAGCATGCAGCATGTGGTTATTGATCTGGTGAGTATATTCCTCTCCTTATCAATCAAAAAGAAGGACGAAAAGCAGTATATATAACAGTATATATTCACAGGCTTGCCCCAAGACTATGTAAATTCTCCCATTTCCTGTCATAGGGAGCTGTACTTTGTGTACATTCTACAAAAATTACATTGGTCCACTATTTTGAGGTTACACATTAATAAGCAAGATGCAGCATGCACTCTAGGTGCCTTACTTAATAAGACATATAGAATCCAGAAGGTGAGAAATTAACCCTATGAAGTGAAAAAAGGCCTGCCAGATGAGCGCAGGACATGCAGAGATATTCCCTCCAAAGTAAAGGGTAGGTTACTGCGTCATTCACATCCTACCTGTAAGAAAGAAGCACACCACTTTTTAGGACTCTTTGGGTTTTGCTTGCAGAATATTCCACACTGAGGTCCAATGGTTGAAGCCATTTATAAGGTGACCTGGAAGGTTTCTAGCTTTAGTAGAGCCCAGAAAAAGAGAAGACTCTGCAGCAGGTCCAGTTTTCAGTCGAAGCAGCATCGCTGCTTGGGTCATATGAGCCAGCAGATCCTAGGGGAGCAGAGGTACCTGTGAGGAAGAGAGGTCACGTGAACTCTTTGGCAAGTCCCAATGACAGGACCGCAGTGCAGACATCTAGGCTTCTCAAAGCAATGCTGTGCCATTTGCTGCAGAGAACTATATATATCACGGAAAGTGCAGCTTCTGGAAGGCTATTGGGCCCGAGATAGCTCGAGTACCTCACTGTAGGACATCAAGTGACTGTGTGGCCAGACATGCTCATCATGAGCTGGAGGCTCTCAACTCCCCAAGTTATAAGGTGAGGTGGGCCTAGTAACAATATATTGTAAGAGAGCTGGAGACTGTGCCTGAGAATGTGCAGAAAGCACGAAGAAGCTAGATGAGAGATGACCCAAAACCTCAGGATCCCCATGCTCTGTACTCACTGATGTCTCTTCCTCATAACAGTTTCCCTATGACCACCTAACAAAGGAAGAAAAACCCATGCTAGGTTCACAGATGGACCAGCTTGGTGAAGTTGGTGCAGGTTGACAATGGACAACATTTCCATTTGGGGTGGCCTTGAAAGACAGTGGTGAAGGAAATCCTCCAAATGGGCAGATCACTTTTTAAAAAAATGATTAAATTGTCTTTGTAAACATTCTCATATTAACTCATAAATCTGTTCCTCCTACCCACAAGATTTATATAGGTAGGGCTTAAAAATAACATTTTTAGGGACGCCCGGGTGGCTCATTGGGTTAAGCGTCTGCCTTCCGCTCGGGTCGTGATCCCAGGGTCCTGGGATCAAGCTCCACATTAGGCTCCTTGCTCAGCAGGGAGCCTGCTTCTCCTCTGCCTGCCACTCCCCCTGCTTGTGTTCTCTCTCTCTCTCTGTCTCTCTGACAAATAAATAAACAAAATCTTTTTAAAAAATTAAAAATTAAAAAATTAAAAATAATGTTTGTACTGTTCATTTAAATTACCTAGATTTAAATTGCATCACCAATAATGAAAATGAAGTATTTACATTACAGGTTGCCCCCACTATCCAAAAGTAGAGCATTTCTATGAAACCTTTCATAAGCTGAAAAGGCATAAAGCAAAGAAGCAATTACCATTAACTTATATGGAACATTTTTGAGCATTCTCAGACCCAAAAAATAACCCCTCTTATCTGATACCTTAAGACACATCTTGCTGATAGATGCACCAAACAAATCAAGATAAAGCTCATGCCCACAGACACAGTTCAAAGCTATGGCAGCTTGATGCTAAGTTCCTGGGGAAGGCGCTTGGAGGGGTCACTCTCGCTGCCCTCCAAACAGCTGACTGCAAAACAAATGCTAAACACTATTTTTGCTTTTTGCCTTTTCTCGTAAAAGCAAAAATCATCTTCGGCTTTCTTTTCAGTTAGCAAAAATAGGTACCAGTGTAGGTCTTTCAAAAAAGTGAGGTGATGTAATGTGAACTTTCAAAAAGCGAGGGGTACCTATATGAACCGTGTTAATAAGAGGGAATGGAGAGGAAGACTTGCAAGACCATACAGAGAGCATGCATAGGAAGTAATAGGCTCTTTGAGAATTCTATCATTATTGCCTCAGCAGTGGGAGATTTGGTGAGCAAAAGAACAAGGAGGCAAACTGAAATAGCAGAAGGATAATAGGATTTCAGAACCAGACAAATGTGGCTTTGAGTCAAGCCTCTGCCAGTTATGAAATGAATGATTTTGGATAGGTTATTTAATCTCTCTGAACCTCAGTTTTCTTTTTTTGTGAATCAAGGTTGATGATACTTTAACTAGTTGTGGTTTTGTTGTTGTTGTTTTGTTTTGTTTTTGTTTTTGTTTTGTGGGCAGCAAAGCAGGTTTATTGAGTGATAGTACAAAGTTCCCAAAAAGGGAGGGGACCTGAGAGCGTTGCCTGATACTTTAATTTTTAATTACGTTTCTGCCGAGTACAGTTGTGCAAACTGTGAACTGCACAAAAGTACCTAGGGAAGAGGTAAAAAGGGGCTGACACCCCACTTGGGCTCAGATCACTGGGAGCATTCTACCATGCACAGGTATTTACATTTCTAATTCGCACATCGCCCCCTGGAGGCTATTCCATTCCTGCCTCTTGTCAGGATTTAAATGAGATAACATATGTAAAACATCTAGTTGGTAGTAATAAATGATAGCTGCTATTGTATTCTGTTGTCTCCAAGTCCATCAGTTACTGAAAGCCTAAGCTAAAAATAGAAGACAGAACCTAAACCCTGCATGATAAAGATGGTCACAAAAGGAAGAGCATGAAAACAGACACATAGATCAATGGAACAAAATAGATAACCCAGAAATGGACCCTCAACTCTATGGTCAACTAATCTTCAACAAAGAAGGAAAGAATATCCAATGGAAAAAAGACGTCTCTTCAACAAATGGTGTTGGGAAAATTGGAGAGCCACATGTAGAAGAATGAAACTGGACCATTTCCTTACACCACACACAAAAATAGACTCAAAATGGATGAAAGATCTAAATGTGAGACAGGAATCCATCAAAATCTTAGAGGAGAACACAGGCAGCAACCTGTCATATTGGCCACAGCAACTTCTTGCTAGACATGTCTCCAAAAGCAAAATGAACTATTGGGACTTCATCAAGATAAAAAGCTTTTGCACAGCAAAGGAAACCATCAACAAAACCAAAAGACAACCAACAGAATGGAAGAAGATATTTGCAAATGTCTTATCAGATAAAGGGCTAGTATCCAAAATCTATAAAGAACTAATCAAACTCAACATCCAGAGAACAAATAATTCAGTCAAGAAATGGGCAGAAGACATGAACAGACATTTCTCCAAAGAAGACATCCAAATGGCCAACAGATACATGAAAAAGTGTTCAACATCACTTGGCATCAGGGAAATACAAATCAAAACCACAATGAGATACCACCACACACTGGTCAGAATGGCTAAAATTAACAAGTCAGGAAGCAACAGATGTTGGCAAGGATGTGGAGAAAGGGGAAGCCTCTTACACTTCTGGTGGGAATGCAAGCTGGTGCAGCCACTCTGGAAAACAGTGTGGCGGTTCCTCAAGAAGTTATAAACAGATCTACCCTACAACCCAGCAATTGCACTACTAGGGATTTACCCCAAAGATATAAACATAGTGATCCAATAGGACCCCAATGTTCATAGCAGCAATGTCCACAATAGCCAAACTATGGAAAAAGCACAGATGTCCATTGACAGACGAATGGATAAAGAAGATGTGGTATTAACACACACACACACACACACACACTGGAATACTACTCAGCCATCAAAAGAAATGAAATCTTGCCATTTGCAATGACATGGATGAAACTAGAGGGTATTACGCTAAGCGAAATAAGTCAGAGAAAGACAATTATGATATGATCTCACTCATATGTGGAATTTAAGAAACAAAACAGGGGATCATAGGGGAAGGGAGGGAAAAATAAAACAAGACGAAATCAGAGAGGGAGGTGAACCATATAAGAGACTCTTAACCATAGGAAACAAACTGAGGGTTGCTGGAGGGGAGGGGGGTGGAGGGATGGGGTCACTGGGTGATGGGCATTAAGGAGGGAACGTGATGTAATGAGCACTGGGTGTTATAAAAGCCTGAGAAATCACTGAACTCTACCTCTGAAACTAGTAATACACTATATGTTAATTAACTGAATTTAAATTAAAAAGAAAACAAAACAAAAAACAAAAAGGAAGGGCATGTCTCTGACAGAACCTACTTCCTCCAATACACTCTAAAAGCCACAAGGGCTGGGACCTGTCTTACACACCTCTGGATGTTCCTAGTACTTAGTGCCAGGTAATAAATATTTGAATGAATGATTGATTGAATGAATGAAAGTATAATTTTACTTTTTTTTTTTAAAGATTTTTATTTATTTATTTATTTGAGAGAGAGACTGAGAGAGAGAGAGCATGAGAGGGGGGAGGGTCAGAGGGAGAAGCAGACTCCCTGCCGAGCAGGGAGCCCGATGCGGGACTCGATCCCGGGACTCCAGGATCATGACCTGAGCCGAAGGCAGTCGCTTAACCGACTGAGCCACCCAGGCGCCCTTTACTTTTTTTTTTTAAAACAAACTAAGAGCAACCAAAGCATCTTTGAAAATAAATGCTTGGCACGCTTCTTGAATATCTTCTGATATGTTGGTCTTAGCGTGCCAGTTCTCAGACTGCGTTTTCCGTGAGTTTTGAGGTCACATGCAGAATAAATCTAGGTTAATATTCAGAGTATGTGGCTGCAACTGTCTCAGATTTAGGGAGACAATCCTGAAGTAGTGAAACGAGGCAAGTGACAGCTCCACAAAATTCTCCAATTCTCCAATTCTCCAGTTTCTCTGTGCTGTTTACCCGGCAATCCACCTGGCTTTTGGCCAGCGGCAGTGAACCACCACCCAATTATGTTATGATGATCCAGCTTAAGTCTGTTTAGTTGGAGGTTTCCAGCTGATTCGTGCTGTCACTTTCCTTTCTTTTAGTCTACACAAAGTGAGTCTTGTTCTCTCTATTCATCTTGCTGAACTATTTGGTTGGTGAAGGCAGCTGCGAGCATAGGGAGAAATTGCCTGTGGCAATGTTTCCGTGGGGGAAGAACCCTCTCCAGGACCTTTCCGGACTCCTCCCCCTTCTCAGCTGTGCAAAGGAGGATCCAACCTCACTGTGGCACTGGTAGCAGCACATGAGGTTCCAAAATAGTCCTCTTGGGGGTAAAGAGGGGATGCAGGGAGATAGTATGGAAACCAAGTCTTGGGCGCCTGGGTGGCTCAGTTGGTTGGGCGACTGCCTTCGGCTCAGGTCATGATCCTGGAGTCCCGGGATCGAGTCCCGCATCGGGCTCCCTGCTTGGCAGGGAGTCTGCTTCTCCCTCTGACCCTCCCCCCTCTCATGTGCTCTCTCTCATTCTCGCTCTCTCAAATAAATAAATAAAAAATCTTTAAAAAAAAAGAAACCAAGTCTTCCCCTGAGCAAAACTTTCAGTTGAATCCAGCAAAACAAGGTTTTCAGGTCAGCAGATTTAACTTTCCTGC